GCTGGCGTGTAAGCCAGAGCACGCTCAAAGAGCGCAAAAGGTGATGACTGGTGACTAGAAAAAGGCAAAAAAGGGCGGAAGAGTTGAAGAGAGTAGAAGAGCGGGATTTGATGGTGTCCCGAGTATTTAAACTGGGCTTTTGGCCACATCCCAAATGGTGTTTTGACCAATTAGACACTGTCTTTGCTAGGGGTGTTGCATATTTCTCCTCCCAATTCATAAATCAAATGTTATCTTATCAGTCACATGGTCCGAGTTTTTCCCGCTCTTGCAGAGTATAATTTTGGACATGATTTCTATAACAAGAATATGATACATTTGAAAAAGAATTGATTGGAAGAAACGTTTCAAGCAAGAAGATTCAAACACACACATACTAAACATGAATAGGAACCCTTCAGGTTTGTGGCACCAGGATTTGATTTACGACCATCCTGTTGTCTTGGGCCTCTGTGGAATTCGGCTCCTCATGTTTCAACCATGTTTTGACCAAATAGATTGTCTGATTCGGTCTGATATCCTACAAATTGTATCCAATCGTGTTAGCCTGCTTGCTTTGGGGGGATCAATGGCAAAGAAAGAAAATCATTGTGCTTTGTGATAACGAAGCCGCTGTCAATTTTATCAATAAAGGCCGCTCTGACGTACCATTCATTAACAGGTTTATCAGACGCATAACCTGGTCTAGCGTTATGAATAATTTCATGATTAAAGCTGCATATATTCCAGGCCTTCTTAATGATAAAGCTGACACTCTTTCCCATTTTAAATTTCAGGAATTCCGCGCACTTTGCCCCGATGCGCATCCATCCAGCCTGGCCTGCCCTTCTTTTCATCTCGCGGTTCTAGATTAAATAAACTTTTCTCCTATATGGATTCGGCTTCTAAATATATGAGGTTGGGAATGGCTAAATCTACCCTAAAAGCCTACGATTCAGCTTGGACTTACTTCACTCTTTTCTGTGCTGCTTATACCATTTCTCTTTGTCCAATAAATATAGATGTTGTCTGCGCATACATAGTACACTGTTTTGAATCTTGCAAGCTCCATCCTTTATCAATTAAAGCTTCACTAGCAGGTATTCAATTTCACCTACGCTGTAGAGACCCAAATACGCCCAGTCTTTTAAACCATCCCTCCATTCGTCTCCTTCTTCAAGGTATTCTCAAAACCTCACCAGATTCTAAAGAAAAACGCCTTCCTCTCACACTGCCTCTTTTACATAAACTATTACGTCGTCTAAGACTTGGGGTTTAAGACCTTCTATGGATTTCTGAGATGCGGGGAATTTACTTGTAATACACTTTCGTTTAATCCAGCCAGCGATCTCAATATATCTGATATCACTATGGACTATATTTTTTCACGCTGATGGCCTGCACCAACCTCAAGCATTCTAAGACTGACCAATGTTATAAAGGAACTTCAATCATTATATAGAGTATTAATTCTGTTTTCTGCCCTTTCTCATCCATGTTTTGTTACCTGAAATCCCGCTGCCATGCCACCCCTGATGATCCCCTATTCCTCACCGCTGACGGCCATCCTATGACGAGATGCTGATAGAAACTGGCAGGAGACCTTAAAATTGATATTTTATCAACAAGAGATTCATATACAATACTCATTATAGATTTTCGAAGATGGTTTGCGGATGAAGAATTTTAAAATGCCCTATAAGAGCGAGGAGTAGCATTTGATGGCCTCCATGTGGCTCACACAGTAGAGCATGATGCTTGCAAACAAAGATCAATGGTTTGATTCCCAAGGAAAGCAAGAACTGAAAAATGTGTACCTTGAATGCAATGCAAGTCGCTTTGTATAAAAGTGTCTGCCAAATGTGTTAATGTAACACGGACAGAGCTGCTCCGAGACACTGAAAACACCGGATCATGAATTGCTCACATGTAAATAAACACAGTGCCGTGGCAGAAATGCTAAGGATATCCAGCACAGAGCTGGAAGATGGCGCCGCTAGCTCTTAAATGAAAATCTCACCATTTAAAGGTGGCGTAAGCAATTTCTGGCAGCCAATGTTGACATTTGAAATCACCAAAACAAACACGCCCCTACCCCAAAAGGGTCTCGCCCCTATTTTGATAGCTCCGCCCCACACATATGTACGCAACCCAGGCAACGATTAGTTCTGTGAAACAAAGCAAAACCAATGTTACACCGTGTCTACACAAGACGCGAGTGGAACTCATTATAATCAGTGATGCTGTCTACACCATAGATATACTGTATATACATATCTATGGTCTACACTGGATGCGGCGCGGCACGACACGACAAATTCCCGACAGAAAACTACTGCTGCATTCTATTCATGACATATTGACAAATTTCAAATGATTTTCAACGGTCGCTTTGTCACGTCCAGTGTACTAGACAGACTTTAGCAGCGTGGACACGGTGTTACTCACCTATCGAGTAACCTCGACATCCGATCACATGCCTTCCGCTCCTTGAGTTCTCTCCAGCGCTGGAAAGCTGATCCGATATTTACACGGGTCCTACTTCTTGCCTTATTGCCTTAAGCCTTCTTTTGTTCCTGCAGACATTTTCCTCTTTTGTTTTTTATCTCCATCTCCATCTTTCTGTCGCTCAGCTTGGCTAATGTCCGTCCTGTGCACTGAACGCTCTCTCCTCCACATCCTGAGTAGACACGCCCCTTACTGCTGATTGGCTACAAGTTTGTTTTGCTAGTCGGCCCGAATCAGTTTTCTAAAGCGTTTTTGAAAAATCGCTTACCCCACCTTTAATCACATTGCTGTCTAGGAGAAACACTTTTTTTTTAAATTTCCTGTGTATTTATATTTGGAAAACAAATGTGATACTAAACAAACAACAATAATGAAAATGAGATTAAAGCAACATTGGAATGTTTTATTCATTCATGTTACATTTTATTTTATTTTTTTAGAAAATAAAACAACCAATAAATACAAAGATAAAAAGCAACTTTTTGGCGACTGCCTCAATGTATTTCAATAGTAGCATTTCTGTTTCTTTTATATATTTGTGTCTCTTTTTTTGTTTTACTGCGCTCAATGACAGCGGGCAGCGGCACCCAAAAGCAGACGGCTCACAATGGATTGCAATGAAACGTGAAACAGGCATGCAGATCCATGAGTGATCCTCTTCACACACACACACACACACACACACACGAGTTGGCACATTAAAGACAACATCTAGAAACATTTTTTTTTTTCGCAAAATAGATATTATATATACACACAAAAACAAGAAATAAACCCAGAAACCATCTTTGCATCTCTCACCTATCAAAACACTGACACTTTAGAGTGTCACTTTAAGATTTAAAGGTGAAGTGTGTAATTTTTGCACCACTAGCATCACCAAACATTTGCAAGATTGCAAGTCCTGAACACGCCCCCATTTCTCACTGGTCAGCCAAAAAGACAGTCTCGCCCCAAACTCGCTCCATTGGTCGAGTTGCTGCTGCTCAAACAGAGCAATGTTTTGATAGTGCCACAGTGTATAACCAATAAATACAAAGATAAAAAGCAACTTTTTGGCGACTGCCTCAATGTATTTCAATAGTAGCATTTCTGTTTCTTTTATATATTTGTGTCTCTTTTTTTGTTTTACTGCGCTCAATGACAGCGGGCAGCGGCACCCAAAAGCAGACGGCTCACAATGGATTGCAATGAAACATGAAACAGGCATGCAGATCCATGAGTGATCCTCTTCACACACACACACACACACACACACACACGAGTTGGCACATTAAAGACAACATCTAGAAACATTTTTTTTTTTCGCAAAATAGATATATATACACACAAAAACAAGAAATAAACCCAGAAACCATCTTTGCATCTCTCACCTATCAAAACACTGACACTTTAGAGTGTCACTTTAAGATTTAAAGGTGAAGTGTGTAATTTTTGCACCACTAGCATCACCAAACATTTGCAAGATTGCAAGTCCTGAACACGCCCCCATTTCTCACTGGTCAGCCAAAAAGACAGTCTCGCCCCAAACTCGCTCCATTGGTCGAGTTGCTGCTGCTCAAACAGAGCAATGTTTTGATAGTGCCACAGTGTTACACTTGTAATGAGAAGCAGGGATAGGAGATTAACGTCAATTATACACATCACCTTTAATAATTCAATGAAAAGAAAACCTCCATCCGCCATCACATCCATAAATTCAAGGTATGCTTTCCGGTAAAATCAGGTGCATCAGTACAGTAGATCGCCCCATGTACAGAGTTTAACAATACACGTAATGTACAAACACAATATCACCCATGTCGTCGCATGGTTTCGTTAAAATTCAGCGTGTTTTCCTCCTGCTTGGTGCGTAAGGCAGAGAGCCAGTCACGTGATCAGAGACGCATGTCGTAATCTCAAAGCTGCTGAAATCTCATCGACTCCCTCATGGGTTTGGCAGGAATATCTGGCACAGAAGGTCGTGGAGGAGAAAACGTCAAAGCAGAAAGTGCACAGAGGACAATAGAGGTTGAAGGTTAAAGAAATGTGCCGAGTCTTGCATTCCCACTCTTGATGTAGATGTGCATTCTCACTGGAGGACAGAAGGCTCATTCAGGTGGGCTGGATTGGCCCAAGCGAAAGGAGACAGAGGAGGCGAGGTGAAGAGGTTGAAGCCGGTGTCGATCGGGTCTGGAGCTCTCGTGTTATCTGACCTCCAGGCAGTCCAGATACTCCAGAGCCAGCTCGTAGCAGAACCTGTACTGCTCCTGCCAACAACAGCGAGGCCACGTCAGTTTCTCTGGCAACATTCACACTGTATCAACTTTATAACTCTACTAGATTTTTATATTTGAAGAATATATATACAGGAATATAAATGTAGAAATGTACACAGAAAAAAAAATCGTATTTACTAAATTTCTAGTAAATTTAGCAAATACATACAAAATAAATGGCAAACAACACAATTAATCAAATGTGAAAATTTGAAACAGAACGACTGAAATATATATTTACATGACTTTGTAAAATACAAAGACTATAATGTTCATTCATATTTAAGATTTGAAAGTCTATGAATGCTTAACACTCAACTTAATGCCCCCCCCATAGTTTAAAGGGTTAGTTCACCCAAAAATCATTAATTACTCACCCTCATGTCATTCCAAACCCGTAAGACCTTCGTTCATCTTCGGAACACAAATTAAGATATTTTTGATGAAATCGGAGAGCTCTCAGAGCCTGCATAGACAGCAACGCAACTGTAATGTTCCCAGGTCCAGAAACGTAGTAAGAACATCGGTAAAACAGTCCATGTGACATCAGTGGTGCAACTTCAATTTTGCGAAGCTACGAGAATACTTTTTATGCGGAAAGAAAACAAAAACAACATAATTTATTCAAAAACTCTTCTCTCCCGAGTTACGTCTTCCGCCATTTCGCAGAGTTCCCTAAGTACGCAATCGACGTAATCAGCGTTGTTTACGTTCGGGGGGGAAAGCGCGCGCATGAACGTAATCTGCATAATCAGCATTGTTTACGCTTAGGGGAAAGCGTGCGTATGCGTTGTGATACTCTCTAAAATGGCGGAAGACGTAACTCTGGGGAGAAGAATTGTTGAATAAAGTCGTTATTTTTGTTTTCTTTGTGCACAAAAAGTATACTCGTTGCTTCGCAAAATTGACGTTGCACCACTGATGTCACATGGACTGTTTTACCGATGTCCTTACTACGTTTCTGGACCTGGGAACATTACAGTTGCGTTGCTGACTATGCAGGGTCAGAGAGCACTCAGATTCCATCAAAAATATCTCACTTTGTGTTCCGAAGATGAACGAAGGTCTTACGAGTTTGGAACGACATGAGGGTGAGCAATTAATGACAGAATTTTCTTTTTGGGTTGAACTAACCCTTTAAGACATGGCTACAGCCTTCAATAGCAATAGTGTAGGCTAGTAGTGCCTAAGGTTAGCAATAGTGCCTAATCTAACACAACTAATTACTTATTAACAAAAGTAAGCACACTAACCATTGACTCCACCATGTTGGGCTTGGAGTTGCGGAGAGTCTTGACTGCGTAGAACACATCCACCATGTTGTGATGGTGCACCATCTCCATTATCATGGTGCAAGCGCAGAAAGTGCCACTGCGTCCGCCGCCATTCCTAAAAGACACCAATATGTCGTTTCATTAGCATCTTCAAGAAAAGCAGCGGCTTGTAACACATGAAGGAGAGTGGGATCTGAGCAGCCCACTTTCAGAGCTTGTGTGGATTATTGTATTAGAGATGTCTGGAGGGGATAGCTGTGAAAGAGACATATTTGTGCCACCACAGAAATCTGCAATACTTCTGAGCATGAAGGAATGGAAAGTACCAGTGCGCTCTGGGGAAAAAGTCATGCAATAAAAATGTCACATCCTACTGAGCTAAGATCATTTCCCTTGGGCTACTGATAGAGGAAGGGCACCCCAGCGCAGATGCTTTGAAGCGCACGTCTGTGCTGCGCTCTCATTAATAGTGGATAGACGTATTAAACTACAGGCAAGTGCAGGTGGCAGGGATGAATCCTGAGGCCAGAGCACTAAGAAGTCTAATACTGAGGAAAATGAAGACATGAAAACGCGGCCAGAGATTAAGCACTTTAAGCAGATTTTCACTGTTGTGTGGCCAGGAGCAAAAGAGACCTGGGTTGTATAATCAACACAATGAAGTGTAATTGCTCTCCAATTAGCCAATTGGGAGCGGAGCCGTGTGAAACTTACAGGCAGTGCACTACAGTGCGACCGTCGCCGCACTCCCTCTGCCACTTCTGCACTTGTGCCAGAAGGTTGAGAAAGGCCTTCTTAGAGTCTGGGATTTCACGATAAGCCGACCAGCGCAGGAACTGGAAATGTCGCACTACCAGATGACCTTCCTGCAACTAAACAATAAAGACAGAGAGAACAAGAGCAGAGGAAAAACATTAATAAGAATAAAAGAGGAGTACAACAGCAGGTCAAAGCAATTTTCTGGTGTTTTCTACAGACAGGGGGCGCTTTGGTAACATATTACTTTTACAAAAAAAAAAAGAAATTAAGTATATTTAATAAATTATTGCACATAAACGTTGTTTTAACTATTAACTATTTGAAATGACAAAATATGTTAAGCAAATAAGTTCATTTTAACCATTCATAACCCTTCACGTTCATTTTAATTGACCTCCTGAAATGAATAAACAACGTTATCCGAACAACACTATCTCACTGAAAAAAAAAACATTTACCTAGTTTTTCAAAACTACAAAAAAATTTACCTATACATATAATGTATCCCTATTTCAAGATTAAATAAACACTAGAGGCAGTAAAGCACCAGCCTTCCCTTTGTACACTAATTATAATTATGGGGTGGATTAGTAATTAATTCAAACTTATTTTCGCACAGTTCCTTGCACAATATGACCTCAAAACACTTTTACCATAGTGCATGATTTGTAAACTAATATGGGTCCCACGGTTGCAAATTTATTTTACAGTATGTGCACTTATGTGAACTTACAGTGCACTTACCTAAGAAAGTACTGGGTTATTACAAGGTAAATACATGTGTTAAGGTTTTTATGTACTTAAGGTTTTAAAAATGTTGTTTGGGCAATGTGTTTATTAATTATTGTGTTCATATTGAATTGCAAAATACATTTGCTGCTTTTGAGGTGGGATACGGATAAGGGACAGGTTTGGTGGTATGGGTAGGTTTAAGGGTGGGTTAAAGTGTAATTATAGATGTAAATACAAAAATTAATAACAGATGTAATTACAGGAAGGTGTTTTTAAACTTAAAGGGGTCATATGATGCGATTTAAATTTTTCCTTTCTTTTTGGAGTGTTACAAGCCCTTGGTGCATAAAGAAGATCTGTAAAGTTGCAAAGACTAAAGTCTTAACTTATAAAAGTTCAGAGTCAACCATGCCTACTTAAAACGGCTCGTTCTAACACGCCCCCACATATCTACGTCACGATGTGGGAAGATTTGCATAATGCCGCCCAAATGTTCACGCAAAGAAGGAAGGCGTAACTTTTATTCTCTCTGTAGTATTGTTGTTGCCGCCGCCATGTCGTGAAGGCGCTGTGTGTTTCGTTGTGAAAGTGAAACTACTTTGTTTGGCCTTCCAAAAGAGGACACGACTAGAAATCAGTAATTAAGTTTTTCTTGAACACTGTTCAAGAACAGTTCAACCCAAGTATTCAGATGTGTGCAGCGCATTTTATGGAGGACTGTTTCCTGATCCTGGGAGAGTAGACAACAATGCCGGCTGTTCTAACTCAAAGACTGTAAGTACGTCTTCATATTTAAAGGATTTGCCACTGACGATTCAAACGCGAGTTTTGAGCAGTGTAGAGTAGCGCTTGTAGTTTGTCATTTCTCCGATCACAAATGCAGACATGGTTTTATGTTTACGCGGCGCGATGCAATGCAACGCGTAAAAAGACAGTATAAGTCATTATAATCAGTAATTATGTCCCCACTGGATGCAACAAATGCCTCGTTTATAATGGGTTTTAATGTTTTTGTCTCGTCGCTCCGGCCGGACAGGGCATCACAGTATGGTAGGGGGGGTAACATTTCCGTCACACGCTTGAGGTATTCGGCCAGTCACAACGCACTGGATAGCTGGCCAATCACAGCACACCTTGCTTTTCAGACCGATGAGCTTTGTAAAAATCGATGTGTTTCAGAAAGGTGGGGCATAGAGGAGAAACAATAATGTACAGTATGTGGAAAATAATGTGTTTTTTGCACCTTAAACCACATAAACATATTTCATTAGACCAAATACACAAAATAATGTTCTTTTTAGCAACATCATATAACCCCTTTAAGTACAATATACACATTAAGTGCATAGTATCAAATTATTAATTTAAATGTAAGTACTTAGCAGTTAAAGACACTTAATATAAAGTGGGTCCCTGTGTTTTGATGTTTGCACACAACCAACTCCATATGTATGGCTTTACTAACATAGTAAACTTGCTTGGTAGCCCACCCGGTAGAGCACTGCAATTGGGTACAAATCACGATAAAAGAGCTTGAGGACTTAGGTCAGGTTTAGTGTAGGTAGTATGTGGTGCTTTTAGCGCCACTCAATGCACACTTCATTTTGAATTTTTTTTTATTACTTTCATCAGCTTTATGTAAAAGAGAACACACTTTTAGCCCCATTTTACTTTGATAGCATCACAAAATGCGCAAGAAGCATTGCAATATAATTTCATAGAAATGTCACCATGTGCACATTGTTTTAAAAAATGTGCCTAGGTTGAAACTGAAGCTTAAGCATCTCCTTTCATTCATTTTTTTCAGAAACTGTTTTGCATCATGGAATATCTACTGTACGTCAAACACTCATTTCAAAACAGCACACAGTATTCAGTTGGATCCTCTGAGCATTAATTAGCATCTAAATTACTCTGTAACAAATCATAAAAGCATTGTTCTGTCTTGGGGCTGTCTATTTTTCTTTATCCAAGGATGGCGCCATTTAGGAACATGATCTATCAATAATACTCTACGCCTTGTACCTTTTTGGGGACGCGAGACTCATCGTTCCAACACGGGTGGTTCTCTCTGGGGTCCTGTGAAGAGGCAGTAAGGGACATTTTCTGACAATGACATGGACTGTTTGCCTGGCTTGCAGAGTCTCAAAGAGACAGAGGGGACGTGGGGACTGACAGGGGCTAGCCAAACTGACACAGGCATGGATGGGAACGTGGCTAAAGGTTGACAGCCTGGCTGACAGGAGTGCTAAAGGGGGCTAGCAATGAGAGGTGCAACACTTGGGACAAGATTTCAAAGAGACAGGATGTTGACAATGAAGCCATCAGAGAGGACTAAGGTCAGCTAGAGGTGTGAGAAAGTGGCTTTTTATTCAGACAAGTCAATATCAGAAGCACAGACCACACTGAGAGAGACTGACACAATACGAACAACTTTATCTCTCTCACACACGCACATGAAGTGAGAAATAAACAGCTCTAATTCCAGCAGCGCAGTGCCACCAGCTCTAGTTTGTGAAATGGAGACTTTTAATGACTGACCACACTTTTATGCCTTTGCTTTAATTTAATCGGTATTGAATTAATTTTCTAAAAGTCTCTGAAAAGATCATTTAGCCATTAGCCTCAGTTAATTAACCTTTCCGGAGTGGCCCTGAACTCAGACAATCTCCAATCTTTTAAAAAAAGATGGACGTTAGAAGACGGGTCATTCGTCTAATGAGGTCTGATATTAATGAGGTACTGTAATAAATGTCAGTGTTAACACTGGGAGAGAACGGCTCGTGATTGGAAGGCACATACAGGGGATAACATATATCTGAAGATGACTTCTTTGGCGCTATAGACTCACCCGTGTGATGTTGGTCACCCTGAATAGGCGAGTGACGACATTGTCATCGGTGGATCTGGAGAGCAGCTCCACCGTCATGGGTCCAAACTGCTGCATGCCTGTTTCAGGCCAGTACTGCAGACAGGGCTGAGAGAGAAAAGAATAAATTACATATGTAAATTGCTATTTTAATTCACTCCTGTACACATGATAGATCAAATGTGTTGTTTAACACCGGGGCAGTAAACAACTATTGACATAACTGTGACCAACAATTATGTCCATAATGATTTTCAAAAATCTAGTTTGAAGTGCCAATTTTTATTTTATTTTATTATTGAATTCATGTTAGTTTTCATTTGGCTTACAAACAAATACACAAATAAAAGCACTTTTGTCCATTTTTAAATTACTGGTAAATAATATAACGATATTTAAAACATACCTATTTGCTTTTTTATATTAACATTTAATTTTTAGTATTGCATTTTTAATTTTAAATATATCATATTTGACAACGTGATTTAATCTCATCGTGTCAGAAAAAAAAAAGATCAAAAATCCCATTTTTGTACTCTCTATGATATAACTTCTTTTATGGCTTTTTATGTATGTATTTATATATGTATGTACTTATTTATTTGGGTCAAATGACAGACACAATGGCACCCTGCATGCCTGTAACACTTTACAATAAGGTCCCAGTTTAATGCATTTAATCTGCATTAATCTAATGTAGTTAATGCATTAACTAATGATAATTTACAATCAGCAATGCATTTTTACAGTATTTAGAACAAAGATAGTATCTTTCATTGTTTATGTCAACTACTGAAGTTAATGTTAACTAATGGAACTCTATTGAAAAATATACATTTGTACCTATAAGCTTAATAACATTTTAAAACAAAACAGCTTTTATTTACGTCTGTGTCATTCATTCATTCATTCATTCATTCATTCTCCCTCATTATTATCTTGGAAATACCACCCTTACGTTTTTTTTTTTTTCACCTAACATTATGACCCACATCATCATAGAAGATACATATTAAAGTCAATGTCTGGGGGGGAAAAAACATAAAAACTAAATTAATAGATAGCAGACAGAGAAAATGGGCATCTTGCGATTAGGCGAAGGGTGAAGATAGACAGTGAAAGGATAATGGAGTCAAGGAAATGCCAGAGATAGGCTAACCAGCACTGAAAATCCAATTGCGGCCCACCAAGATAAATAATCCTTGCTCATTTCTCCATATCGCCTGCATTGTCTAGTCCAATCTTCCACCAGATTACCATTTGCTCAATGTGTCAATTAATTTTCGCTCACGCCAGTTGCAAACAGCTTCAGCCATGCATTTCCATTGAGAGATACAGAGATGTTGATATAGATGAGATAGAAATTGATAAATCCTTGTCACAGTGATGTGCATTAACAGAGTGACACTGTGCCGAAGATGATAAATATTCATCCGAACACACTCAGACAGATCAGAAATGGGTGACTAGCAGAAGGAGCACAGAGAGATATTTCTAGAAAGTTAGATGACTAACGGAGTGTGATAATGTCTGGAAAAACATTCGCACACATCAGATGGAAGACAGGAAACTGAAATAACTATAAAATAATCTTGTGCAGATCACCTCACTCAAAGCACACACACACACACACACAAACGCATGTATTATAAGGTGAGGCTTAAAGATGATACACTCTAATTTTGCATTCAGTGGAATAATGTGCACCAGAGATGCTTTATCATGGAGAACGGGTCACAGTGCTTGCCTGCAGGGGGGAGCGAAAATCACGGGTAGGTTGGTATCTCGGTGAGTTTGTCCTTTCCATTGCCAATGTAGACAAGACAAACACATTATCAATGTGGGGAGTCTCAAATGAAAGGCACGTTGTGTGTTCGCTGCTCACCCAGAGTGAGAATTATGGGCTCCGAGGGGGGGTGTTGTCTGACCTACCAAAATATAGCTTGAAAACCCTTAAAGACTTCAAAACAAACGGGTGTTGGTGGTCTTAAAATATGCAAGGTTATTTTCGTCTCTGGCCCATACTGACTTTTCTTTTCTCACATGTGGAACAAAATTAAAAACATTACAAATCACACTGAATCTAACATTTTTTAATTGTAATCTGGACAACTTTCATATGTGGAAACAAATTTCGCAATGTAACCTAGATAATGCCATTTTTTAATGTCAATTTAACTTGACATTTGTTATAACTGCATGTTTTATTTACTATATTATGCTGGCTGCAAAAACATATGTTATATGTTTGTTCGGCTCATTTGACTGCAGATTTCATGTAAATGAGGCACAGTCTAAAAAAGCAGCCAGCTTTATTATATAGATAAAGTAGAATTAATATAGAATAGAAAGTGCTAGAGTTAGAGGGTCAAATAAAGGTGGAACAGATGTGTTTTTAGTCATTTCTTGAAGATGGCTAAGGACTGAGCTGCTCGGATTGAGTTGGGCAGGTCATTCCACCAGGAGGGAACAGTTAATGTAAAAGTCTGTGAAAGTGATTTTGTGCCTCTTTGAGATGGCACAATAATACGCCATTCACTAGCAGAACGCAAGCTTCTAGAGGCACATAACTCTGAAGTAATGAATTTAGGTAAAGGGGTGCAGAGCCAGTGGTGGTTTTGTAGGCAAACATTAAGGCCTTGAATTTAATGCGAGCAGCTACTGGTAGCCAGTGCAAATTGATGAACAGAGGTGTGACATGAGTTCTTTTCGGCTCATTAAAGATTAATCTTGCAGCGGCATTTTGGATTAATTGTAGGGGTTTGATAGAAGTGGCTGGAAGTCCTGCCAAGAGAGCATTGCAATAGTCCAGCCTAGGGGAATGTCAACTATCACAAAACATAGAAACAGTTGTTGATTAAGTGTTTGGTTCAAACAAAAATGCAGGTATTCATGGTAATACATGGAATGTGGTGATCTGGATCGTGTCGGAGGATTATATGTTTGTTTGGATCATTTGACTGCAGATTTCATGTAAATGAGGCACAGTCTAAAAAAGCAGCCAGCTTTATTATATATATACTGTATGAGACAAACCTCCACAGTTGGCTCCCAATTTTAGTTTGAACAAAAATGCAGGTATTCATGGAAATCAAAGTTCAGTAAAGGGTACAATCTAGACCTTTATGAATGAGTGCCATTGTGTGAATCTCATAGTGAGTATTGTAGACATTGTGGGTTGTTAACCTGGCTCTCTTACCCAGGCTGAGTTGGACTGGTTGAGCTGGTTGAGCATGACGATAGAGGTACAGCCATAGTCAAACACCAGTCTCCAGAAGTCTGCGGTGGTGGTGGGGAGGGGGTGAGGGGTCACCACGAACGCAGCCGGCTGCAGGAAGCTGTCCATCAGTGCGGCGTTTATGTAGTTGTTGCCGTCGCCCTCGGTGGAGACGAGGAAAGCCAGCGCGCGGTCGGGCGGCAGCACATCCATGCTCCGGTTCTTCTCACGGTTACGGGGCAGCAGAGACACGCTGCACTCCTCCACATCCAGGTGAGGAGTCACAGAGTTCAGAGTCTAAAGAGACAGAAGGCAGACAGAGAAAAGACAAGGGATCAAAGGGTGACTGAATGCACTCAATGATTGTGCAATGATAAAACTAAGTGAGACAATGAGAGGATGATGAAGTAAAACTATGCAAAAATGACCAACAGAGCAAAAATGGAATAAGTGTAAAATCCCGTGAAAGATAATGAAATTCTCCCTAAAACATAGAGCACACGATGACAGATTACTGCCTTGGATACGTTTTTTCACATATCAGTTGGCAGTGTAACTGCTCAAGACACTCATGGGAAAACCCAGAAGACAGATTCAATTCACGAGTAAAATAAGGCCTGTGGTAAACTAAAAGTAAAATGTCCAATATTGTCAATTTACATATACCACTTACCACCAGTAGACTTTGTGCTACACATAAATTCAACCCATAATTTGAACCCATGTAGTATAACTTTTTTTGGGGGGGGGTTTGACATCACGGCTGCTGCACACATTATCAACTATCACAAAACATAGAAACAGTTGTTGATTATTATTATTATTAGTAGTAGTAGTAGTATTAGTAGTAGTAGTAGTAGTATTTTAGTATTATTTACTTACCATTATGGTATTTATTATTTTGAATTTTTTTATATATTTTCACTTTTCCTTTTTTTTCCGCTTATGTTTTAGTCATTTTTCAATGTTCTTTTGTCATTATTATAATTTTTTTCTATTTGAATTTAATTTATTTTATTTTAGTTTTAGTAATTTAAGTACATTTACTAGTAACTAGTTACTAGTAATTTTACCATTATTTTTTTGCTTACATTTTCATCTAATTATTCTATTTAGTGAATTATTATAATTATTATTATAGTTTTGTTTAACAATAACAACACTGCATTGAACATATTGTATTACGAGAACGAGCATGTAACCTTTTGAACTTGAATATGCTAGTAATATGCATGTTAATAAGCAACTATAGTTAAAAAAAAAAAAAAGAAAGTGAAGTGACATGTGGCCAAGTATGGTGACCCATACTCGGAATTAGTGCTCTGCATTTACCCATCCAAAGTGCACACACACAGCAGTGAACACACACACACCGTGAACACACACCCGGAGCAGTGGGCAGCCATTTATGCTGTGGCGCCCGGGGAGCAGTTGGGGGTTCGGTGCCTTGCTCAAGGGCCCCTCAGTCGTGGTATTGAAGGTGGAAGAGAGCGCTGTACATTCACTCCCCCCACCTACAATCCCTGCTGGTACGAGACTCGAACCCACAACCTTTGGGTTATGAGTCCGACTCTCTAACCATTAGGCCACGACTCAGTGTCACGTGATCCAAATGTATTATTTTGATTATCGTATTACACTATTATTATTTTGTCTTGTGCACTGAATGCAAACATCTGTTGAGTGACATAGCTTATTTAAGGCAGTACTAAATACTCTAAAAATAAACTTTTTTTAACTATTAACGTTTCAGATTCTGTAAGATGCATGTGAACTAACAACCTCAAGTGTAGACAGATGCACAGAAAAGCTTTGGAAGCTGAAATGATTTGGTCTCAGGGAAATAATGTCTACAAAGCTTAATGGTTGAGAATAAATGCACACTGGTCACATATGAATACTTCTGCTATGAGCCTTGAGGTGAATGAATCAGACTGAGAATTATGCAGATTATTACATTGATGGGTAAAGTGCTTCAATCCCAATTGGTTCTGACAGCACAAATGGGACATTACAATTATGATTATAAAGATTACACTGGCTGGATGACAGGGACAGGTACACAGTCTCAGAGCGGCAGGCATGAAGCCATTAATAGCTTAATGCTAAAAACACACATGAGTGGAACTGTAAGGTGAGGGAACACCTCATTAAACCCTCTCTTAACGAATGAAAATAGTCACTACAGCTGGTTGACTTCATCACAGTTTGAGCTGCGAGTTAGTATGCAGCACTTAACCTGGATGAAACAAAATGACATGATTTGCATAAAGCCCCAATGGAAATATAATACAATTAATACAGTTCATACAAACCCAAGCCTCTTATGATAGTCTGGTCTCTACATTAGTTTTTTTATTTTTATTAAACATGTTATGTCATTTAGTTGCCAATGAAGCATTTGTGATTTTTGCTTATGTTTTCTTTATCTGATATTGAATCTTTATTACATTAAAACCTTTTTTAGTAGTTTTAGTTAAAAATAAGTTCTCTACACAACTCAAACCCCTTCTTCAGTGTAAGTCTGTGGCATTGTTTTGCTTGTTTTCTAAGTTAACTTGTTTTATTCAAGTCAAAATATTATTTAACACTGAATGAACCTAAATACATTCATTTATACCAATAAAGCTGATTTTAATGGGTTAATAACTGCAGATAACCACTTTTTACAGTGTTCTCTTTCGGCTTACAGTAAAAAGAAAGAATTTAAAAAATAATTCAAATGCATGAGGTTTTAATCTCTGGCTTCAATCAGTGCTCCTAATTTTTCCAAAGACAACTCCAATTACACACCATATACATCACACAATCTCAGCTCATTTTTCACTTAAACGATTATGCATATATTATGTTTGGTCTCCTAATATGGTCAGAAGTTTTCCTAAACTATTTCTTGGGCATGTTGCTTGCTGGGATCACTTAGGAAAGTGTTTTAATTTGTCAGTGTGTCTCAGCAGTACCTCCCACTTGGACCAATCTCAGCACACAGTCTCTTCCTGGGTCTAAGCAATGGGATGCAGTCAATGTACTTGAACATGTGACATCCGCAGTGCATTAGCAGAGTCCACAACATTAAATTGGGCTGTAATTAGACTGCAATCAGCAGTAATATTGCTGGATATTAACTTGCTAAGAAAGTATTAAGCAATAGGCATGATAATGGTTGTCTCAGCTCATGGGTCACAAAAAGGATACATCCTTATATTTACTGGAAATAAAAAAAATAAGTCATAAATCAGTGACTCTATTCACAGTTTGAGAGTCCTGGGGTCAGTTTTGTGAGAATCTTATGAATAAAATGACCTTGGAACTCATAAACGCACCTAGTTGACTTCTCAGGTTGAAATATAAAATAATAATGCAGTTTATAAGAACTGATTTCTTTTTAAATATACTTTAAAATGTATTTTATTATTAGACTCTGAACTGTGATGTTAAAGCTGAATTTTCAGCATCATTACTCCAGTCTTCAGTGTCACGTGATCCTTCAGAAATCATTCTAATATGCTGATTTGCTGCTCAAATATTAGCTTTATATCCGTTTTTGCGGTTTAATATTTTTGTGGAAACCATGATATGTTTTTCAGGATTCTTTGATGAAAAGTTCAAAAGAACATCATTTATTTTCATTTATTTTTACCAATTTAATGCATCCTTGCTGAATAAAAGTACTAATTTCTTACCCCAAATTTTGAATGGTTGTGTATTACAGTTTCCACAAAAATATGAAGAAGCACAACTGTTTTCAATATTGATAATAATCAGAAATATTTCTTGAGCAGCAAATCAGTATATTAGAATGATTTCTGAAGGATCATATGACACTGACGATTGGAGTAATGATTAAGCTTTACATTTTAAAATATATTCAAATAGAAAACTGTTATTTTAGATTTCACAATATTACTGTTTTTACTGTATTCTTGATCTAATATACAGCCCTGGTGAGCAAAAGATAAAGCATTTTTTTTAAATATATATTCAAAACTTTTAGTATACGGTAGAGTATATTTTATTAGAGCTGTTTTATTCAGTATATTTTATTTATTAAAGTGTCCCTATTATGGATTTTTGAAAATTACCCTTCATGCAGTGTGTAACACAGCTGCAAGTGAATGAAAACATCCTGGAAAGTTTTAAATCTGAAAGTGCACTGTGTTTAAAGTTATTGTCTCTCAAAACAAAGAGTCGACTCGGAATCATTTAATAAACAAGTCATTTTTAAAACGAATCCCAAGCCGTTTAATGTTGTTGTGAACATGAAACATTAGAATAAAATATATATTCAAAACTTTTAGTATAGTACGGTAGAGTATATTTTATTAGAGCTGTTTTATTCAGTATATTTTATTTATTAAAGTGTCCCTATTATGGATTTTTGAAAATTACCCTTCATGCAGTGTGTAACACAGCTGCAAGTGAATGAAAACATCCTGGAAAGTTTTAAATCTGAAAGTGCACTGTGTTTAAAGTTATTGTCTCTCAAAACAAAGAGTCGACTCGGAATCATTTAATAAACAAGTCATTTTTAAAACGAATCCCAAGCCGTTTAATGTTGTTGTGAACATGAAACATTAGAATATTGCCTGCCCACATGTTGTGCGTGCAGACATGGGAAAACTTGAGAAGACGCTGTGCTCTGTACTACAAGGGTAAACCCTTTTCTTTTTTTTTACTGCCAAAGGATGAGGCTGTGAATAATCAATGGCTAAAGTTCATTTTTACAACAATACCACAGCAGTATAGCCCTATAAACTTGTGTTGTGTCCCCGTCATTTCACTGAAGACTGCTACAGCAACAGTGTTTCCCACAAACATACACTCTATGTGTGGCGGTGCTTCCCCCGTGGGATATATATATATATATATATATATATATATATATATATATATATATATATATATATATATATGGTTCACATTTACAGCTATGCGTGTTTGCTGCTTAAAACCATCAGTCGATTTTCGTGTTGGTCTGAATGAAAATGCAAATTCATTCTTTGCCACTAGGTGTCACTTTTGAAGCGGTAAAAATAGCTTTTCCCCGGTAACAGCTGTACACAAAGCAGCACTGTGCTCACAAACGCTGCTTTATGAAATGTAAATAAAATTGACCAATCATCGCAAATTGGTGTCACGCAAAGGAGGGGTTTGGAAAAATTTATTGTTGAGTGAATCGTTTGGGAGTCGTTGAGCAAGTAAGGTAAAAAAATAAATGCATATTATAAGACAATGAAAGTATTTTTGACCTTGCATCCATGTCAACCTGTTGTTGGGGACTCCCAAAACCAAAATATGAACCTTTCATAACCCATAATAGGGGCACTTTAACTAAAATGTAACTAAGCCTAAAAAAACATGACACCAATCTGATTAGAGACATCCTGGAATTCTGCTAACCATTTCAGACTCTATGGCCAACAAAGAAAGTGAGGAAAGTTATTTATGTGTCATTTGTCCTCAGTTCATTCACTCACCTGAAACTCTTCTCGCAGTTGAGAGGTGTTGGTCTGAGAATCCACACTCAGCATGTCCTTATAGGTGAGCTCAAACTCGCTGATGGGGATGGCGGTCTCTCCGCACAGACAGGCCTCTAGTATGGCATCATGGATGAATATATACTGCTCCTGAAAGAGAGATTGACATAGAAAGAGTCAGCTAAGGACGGAAAACTGCTTCGAAGAAATGAGGCCATGTCACAACATGCACGATGCAGTGTCCAATTATTTGCTTTAATATGGCTTTAATTAAAAACGATGTGACAAAATGTCAGAGAGATTAATCGAGGGGCCAAATATTAGCTTAATTTAGCAGTGTAGGAGGGAAATGTCAAAGTCAATCAAATCTATATTCCCACATAAAGATGTAAAACCCTCATTTACAAATGGCCATCAGTAGAATGACTTTAGATTAAAAAAACTGTGGTATATGACAATAGTTATCACTAGAAATAATTACAGACATTTTCTGAAGAAAATGTGAGTCATGCTTGCCCATGCAAGCAAGCTGCCATGGTGCTATGCTTTTCTGGGTGGTTGCCAGAGTGTTGCACTGGGGTAGTTAAAGTATTTAGAGTGTATGTGGTTTTTAGGGTGTTTGGGTAGTTGCTTATAGACCTAAGTAATGCAGGATCATCGGAAAAACGTGCCTGTGGCAACATTTCTAAAAATTATAATACGTTGCTTCTTGAACATTTTGTAACACTTTCAAAGTGAAATCTGGCAACGTTTTAATATGTTGATTGTTGTATGCACCGCAGGAGTTCGGAAATTAAATGTCCGGCAAGTGGTGCTACATGGTTAATGCTGTGTCGCATTTGAAAATAACATACCACTTACACTAAACCCCACCCTAAACTTACATGGCATCATTAACAAAAAACAAACATTATATAAACATGCATATGCCAAATGAACCATGACATTTTAGCTTCCTTCAACAAGTTTTTGCACTCGCAATAAAATAACTCAATGCTGTACCAGGTGCGCTACAGAGCAAGTGTACTTTATCAAAAACGTAATATATGGTTATGTGATGCAAATATCAAAATGTATTAGTTCGCAAGTAACGCACTGCAGTATAAGTATTTTAACACTAGTGTTCACTGAAACTGGAAACAGCAGTGAACTGTATGTACAGATAAATTTTTTGGAGTTTTGTAAACATGTAGGTAGAGGTACATTTTTATTTTACTTTATTTTTGCCTTTTTTTGTCAGATCTTGTACAATCGTCAATCCAGTTTCTCATATTTCTCCAGTCTATTTAATATCTCTCTTCGACTAGTCATGATTTGCGGCGTTGTTCAGGATGGATTGCATAATAAAGTCTAAGTTAATAAAGAAAAATCTATAACTTGAAATATGAGCAATAAAAATAGTTCTGTCATGACAACTCTCGGAGGGATTGGCATGGTAATGTACATGACAATGTTAATGTATTTGGTCTTGGCGGAATAGATCTGCTACGCTGCTGCTGCATACTTGTTTCTGTAAAGAATATACAGAAGTTGAAAGCAAGGCAAAATAGAAAACTGAAAGTTGGCCTGAAATATATTATAAAATGTAGCATTCATCAAGAGATGTTAACATTACAAAGCAACAAGAATTACCATTTGCAAACCATTTTATTTTTGTATTTACAACTGAAACAGGATTTTCAGTGAGAACAAATGTGGGACTTGATTTCATCCATCAGGATTTGATGGATACTTTGGAATTCGGGAAACAGTGTTCAAATCATCCAAATGAACCAAACTCTGATGATCAAATGAACTAGGTTAAGCACCAAAAGTGCTTGTGTGAAGGAAAAAAAAATAGATAAAATAGCCATCCTAGTTTAGTTGATTAATGGATCCTTGTGACCCATCCTTTGTTTCTGATCATTAAGTTTCTTACCTCGGTCTGGATCATGTTGATACGTCGTGAGCAGAGCGTCTTCACACAGTTATAAATGTCCACCACACCCTCACACTCCGCCATATCCAACATCACGTCCAATACTATGTAACAGCCAGTGCGGCCAGCACCCATACTGCAGACAGACAAATAATGAGACAGCTGAAGAAACGATATCTCAGTGTACTGTTGAGCTACTTAAAATAAATAACAAATAACAACACATGGGCCTAGAATGAAATGAGAGCGAGTAAACAAAGACATTTTTTATGTGGAGATGGCACTGTTCTAATGCAGCTCTGGGTACACGCTAGTAAATGGGCTGTTTTAAGTAGAAGTACTTCACAAATTGAGTTCAGTCAATTCCTAAATATACGTGCAGGGGTGGATGAAACTACTACCACAGCTCTTTCAAGTAGAACATTCCAGGAGTGACTACAACAACCGGCCACTGCCACAATCAATTAAGCCAGCTCCCAACCTGAGTCATCTTGAAGCTTGAGCTTCATTAAATGAGCCTGCGTATTGAATCTACAGGCTATTCCATGGTACCGTGATATTATCAGTTGGCAATAACATGTTACTTTGATATATTGAAATTAAGACCTGCCAACCAAACAAACGGGGGTAAAAATCAGTCATGGTGGGTAAAACATATCAACTCAAAGGCCAATTTGGTGGGTTATTATTAATAAATCATATCCTACAACCAGGAGCCTCCAACATTAGCAAAACAAAGTGTAATGTATAATATATATATACAGTGGGGCAAAAAAGTATTTAGTCAGCCACCAATTGTGCAAGTTCTCCCACTTAAAAAGATGAGAGAGGCCTGTAATTTTCATCATAGGTATACCTCAACTATGAGAGACAAAATGAGAAAAAAAAATCCAGAAAATCACATTGTAGGATTTTTAAAGAATTAATTGGTAAAGTCCTCGGTAAAATAAGTATTTGGTCACCTACAAACAAGCAAGAGTTCTGGCTCTCACAGACCTGTAACTTCTTATTTAAGAGGCTCCTCTGTCCTCCACTCATTACCTGTATTAATGGCATCTGTTTGAACTCATTATCAGTATAAAAGACACCTGTCCACAACCTCAAACAGTCACACTCCAAACTCCACCATGGCCAAGACCAAAGAGCTATTATAAACCATAGTATTTACAAAGTATTTCAATGCATTACAATTCTGTGGTATCACTATTAAGGTAATAAATATGATGGTGCTTTATGCAGATGCCAGTAAGAAAGTGCCATGTGGGTTAGACTGGCCATCATGACAGTGAAGCATACTAATTAAGTATGCTTTAAAAAATGAGAGAAATATCCCAGGCAATCTTGAATAAAGCACTGCTGCAGTTTAATTAAAAGATCAAGCGATAATGTTAAAGCACGTAAAATGGAGAGATAAATTGAAGAGCACATTACATCACATGATTTGCGCAAAATATCTTACATTTTCAGGATAAATGTGGACCAATGAGTCTTTAGGGACTGATGAACATTTCATCAGTGTTCAGGGATGATTCATTGAATTGGTTTTCTGTCCAATTTAGTTTTATCTGATACATGGATGTCTTCCGCATGAATAAGTGAGATTGTGGGGCAGAAACCCATCCTGGTGAACTGCAGGTGTGAGCATTTTTCGGTTTATAATAGGCAGCAGATGCATGAAAAATATCAAATATCTGCAGTTCATCAAAAGCAAAAACATGCTTTCATGTTTGAGATCTGAAAGCATTGATACTGCCTTAAGACATTTTTTTAAAGGTGAAGTGGAGGCACAAACACTCACAGGGGGTTGCTTAAGACATATTCACATCTCCTTAACTAACAGCTGGAGTAACAACTTGTATCCAGCTGTAATCTTAGTTGTAAATGTTAGGGGAAAAAATACACATCTGAGAAAGCTTCTAAAATGTCATTTTTGGTGATGCAGATCTTTAACTGTTAGTTCACCATGTGTTATAAGGGTTATCACTAGTGGGATGTTTTCACTGACCACATTTAACATAAAAAATGGTGCACAAACAGGAAGCAGTGCTTGATTACCTGCAGTGGACTACCACTGGACCAGCGTCGGGCGGCGTGGAGGCCTTGACCCGCCGGAGGAAGGCCAGCAGTCCTGTGGCATGATACGGGACACCATGCTCTGGCCAGTTTGTGAAGTGGAGCTGGCAGACTTCATGTTTAGCTGGGTAACCCCGCTGATAGAGGACAAAGTTACTCGTTAGGAAAACATTAGAAACAACATTTACACATTAGAATGTTCTAACTAAAAACGTTCTTACAGATTTTCCATGATTTCATAATTTTATCAAAATAACTCATGGGCAATAGCTCCATTAACTAATTTACATTTAATAGCACAAAATGTTTGCAGAATATTGACAAACATCTCAACAGTCTCACCCGCTCCATGGCAAAGGTGCGTACGGTGTATTCTGCCAGCGTTTCTGTTTTCAGCAGAGTGATTTTGATGTCTCCATAGAGCTCACTGTCATCAGGCCAGTATTTACAGCACTTCATCTGAACCACACACACACACACACACACACACACACACACATACAATTAACACCACAGCTACAACTGCAATCAACAGCTTTAAAAGTTATACAATCTGTTACAAATACTACATTACAATAAAAATAATAATAATAAATTAATTAATAAATTAAATTAATTATATTTATGGTTTGATCATAAAACCTAAAATGTAATATTAATAATATTTTTATATATATTTTTTTTTCTCTTTTCTTTTTTTTCCGCAAAGACAAAAACATCCATACAATGTACAATTATTTTTAAAGCAAATCCATGATCCAATATTTATTATAAAGACCTTACCATACTTAGTCAATATATTTTCTTTAGACACAAGACAAAATGTTTCTTAAAGGAATAGTTAACCCAAAAACTTTAATTTGATGTTTATCTGCTTACCCCCAGGGCATCCAAGATGTAGACGACTTTGTTTCTTCAGTAGAACACAAATGAAGATTTTTAACTCAAACTGTTGCATTCTGTCAGTCATATAATGGAAGTGAATGGGAATCACGGCTTTGAGAGTAAACAAAAAAAAACATACACAAACAAAACCAAATTAAACCCTGCGGCTCGTGACGATACATTGATGTTTAAAGACACGAAACGATCGGTTTGTGCCAGAAACTGAACAGTATTTATATCGTGTTTTACCTCTGATGCACTGCAATGTCTGAACTGTCCTGAGCGCGTCCTCGACAGCCGGCTTGTGAGGCGTCTTATTCTTCTTCTTTTTCCTTATGGCGGATCGCAGACTTATAAGTGCATTACCGCCACCTATCTCTCAAATGGACCATTGACACTCCTAATTGAGATTGTAGATAGAGAGATAGGTGGCGGTAATGCACTTATAAGTCTGCAATCCGCCGTAAAGCAAGAAGAAGACGCGTCACGTGCCGGCTGTTGAGAACTCGCTCAGGACATTTCGGACATTGTGGTGAATCAGAGGTAAAAAACAATATAAATACTGTTCAGTTTCTTGCACAGACCTATCATTTCGTGTCTTTACACATCAGTGACGACACGAGCCGCGGGGTTAAATTTGGTTTTGTTTGTGTATGTTTTTTTTACTCTCAAAGCCGTGATTCCTATTCACTTCCATTATATGACTGACTGCAGCGGTTTGAGTTAAAAATCTTCGTTTGTGTTCTACTGAAGAAACAAAGTCACCTACATCTTGGATGTAGGTAAGCAGAAAAACATCAAATTTAAATTTTTGGGTGAACTATCCCTTTAATGTAGGTCAATACAATTATAAATAGAAAAAAAAGAAACACTACTACTACTACTACTACTACTACTAATAATAATAATAATATTAATAATAGTAGTAGTAGTAGTAGTAGTAAGACAATATATAATAAGATAAGATAAAAATATAAATATTTTGTTAGTTACTGTTCAATGTTTAAAGACAACCTTAATGTTTATAGTAATATATATCTTTAAAATTTGTTTTATTTTTTAAAATATTACATATTTATGTATAAATAAATAAATAAATACGTTAATAATAATAATAATAATTATTATTATTATTATTATTATATGGTAAGAACTACCACATTTTGCTATTAGTTTGATTGCATCATATAATAATTGCTGTTAATAGTGTTCATCGTCTGTTTGATTACGTCTTTAATTGATTTTTCCGTACATTTCTGCCATATGTACATTAACTGACAGTCACCACTGATAAGCTACCACTAAATATTGTAGAAACTTAATTTGCTGTAAAGTTGCAACGATTTGTATCGTCAAAAATGCTATACAAATATACTTGAATTGAATTAACAAACTAAACAAGACAAACCCATGATTTTCAATTAAGGGCAAACTAATCATTAGAATCTATGTACAATATAATTGTGAATGAGTCTGTTGAGGAATACTAATTTTAACAAAAATCTAAAACTGGCCATGCAGCAACTACATACTCCACCAAAATATCAAAGTTGCTACAGTTACTAAACAGAACTGTTATACTACAATAAAGCTGTGGTAACTTGGCAAAAGCCAATGAATAAATAAGCCAATGGCAGAAAGATTCTGAATGTCCCTCTCTAAGAGATCCAATAATAACTACGATGTTACAGTACTATCAACAAATGTATTAACCATGGCATTTTGGAGGAAAGGGGACAAAGGAAAGCTCAATTAAATGCTAAAGATGGCTGGCCGATAAAAAACATTCATCAGACGGAATGTTCTCTGGCTAATGGGGTTTCTTGGTAAAGTTTATCTTCAGTAATGGTCAGCAGTGGGTCAGTGTTCAGTAATGGATGGTGTCCATTAGTGGGCGGAGGGGGCGGCCGAGGTAGACTTATTCTACTCACTCTCCCCACCTCCACCAGTTTGGTGATCATCACGATGCTGTAGCAGTTCTCCTGCCAAACCATGCGCCAGAAGTCATAGATCATGTCCTGCTTGGGCCCTGCGGAGAGAGAGACAGAGCAATGAGCTTTCATGGAGAATTGTGGGAGGTGAATGATTTGAACGCAGGATAAAGAGAGGATAGAGGTGGTTTTGTGAAATAGCAGGTCGCGACATCCACGAGGATTATATAAGAAAAGAGAAAATAGGGACGGTGAGCTGCTGGGACGAGAGAGCTATCGGTTCATATAGAAGACAACGAATGAAGAAACTGCTGGCAGTGAAAATCCAGTGAGTGATAGCAGCAAGAAACTAGAGTTTGACATTTTTCTGAAGAAATGTACAGTATGCTAGGCAGTTACTAAGGCTGGTGTTTTCAGTGCGCTGCTATGTGGGTGCTAAAATGTTATGAGTGTGTGTCGCTATAGTGCAACACCGTTATCAAGAGAACATTGTAATGGGCCCAAATGGGTTCTTACTTGACCAAGTCCGTTGTTTACAATGGAGAGTGAGGACTCACCAGCAGTACCAGCATCTAAAGCTCACAATGTAAAGTTACAATGGCTGATGATGTGAAAGAGGACAACAGGGAATTTTACAGCCCTACTTGTTCAAACCAGAATACTCCGACCAAGAACTGAGAGAGATGAGCAGATGAGCTGACGCTGTTTGTTTACAACGGAGAGTGAGGACGCGTGTGAGAACTGAGAGAGATTTTGGAATCAGTGGATCAGACATCTGTGAAAAGTCAAACGTCCCGAATGTACACGCAAACGTAATCTTTTTTAAATTGGTTCCAGCAGCCAGGATAAGCACAGGCAAGTGCCATTTCGGCAAACAATAAAAGGCACGAGTCCTCATTCCCCGCTGTAAACAAACAGTGTCATCGGCTTACGACAGAGGAAGTTCGCACTCCAGACAGTTGTGAATGCGCTAAGAACCGTTTGTTCGGGCTGTGGATTAAAGGTAATAATGTTGTAAATAATGTCCAGCTTCTTGCACAGCCTGATTGTTTCGCTTCATAAGACCTCAATATATCGCCAGGGCTTGGTCTTGTCTGCACTTCTACCTCATGAACTTTTTGAAGCGTCAAAGTTTTGGTTGTGTGATAAAAATCTGTTAAGTTTAATTAAACTAGTCTTAATTTGTGTTTCACAGATGAACAGAAGTCTGAAATGCTTAGAACGACAGTGAGTAATTAGATGAGTAACTGATGAATTTAAATTTTTTGGGGAGAAACATACCTTTAACACTATCTGTGTGATGTCTAGTTAAGACATTAGAGTTTATTATGGTGGGCTAGACAAATGTTTAAATCACTAATCCCAAATATGTGTAATTGTAATAGCAAACACCTCTAATAAAGCATTTAGCAGTACTATGAATGGCATGAGCTGAACCTTTTTCATTCTCACTCTCGTCTCTTTCTTTTCTTCCTCGTGTATTTCTTTCTGTACACACATCACACATGCATAGCACGCTTTCAATGCGTACGCATAGAAATATTGGAAACATTAAAGGAAAGCTGCTGAAGGTTTGTAAACGCAGCGCTGTGAACGCTCTGCCCTCGGGCGAGGAATCTGTTATCTTCTCTACCTGTTAAAACAATTACAGCCAACAACAGGTGCTGCGCTTCCTGAGTTCCTGAGCAGCTCTCCTGCTATTGCCCGCAGCTACATCCACAAAATATCCCATCGCAATGCTCTGCTTTACAGCTGGGATGAAGCCGAGGTTGTTCATGATGAATAATAACGTTAAAACTGAAAAGTTTTCGAGGCTTAAATAGAAGGTGGGGAGGCATTTGTTCAACACTGTTTTTGGGGCCGTATTGAAACGGCATTTCCCAGCTGACAGCATCAGAACACATCCAGCCCAGGTTAATTAAAGCACCTCAGGAGAAAACTGCTGCTAACAACAGACATCTTTCACTTTCCTTATGAGCGCTGTTTGCTAAAACATGCATCAGTAAAAAAAATACAACTGCTTAACAACTGCACATCAGAGATGTCAGCAACATCAAAATGAGAACATCTTACCAATCACATAGTAACATGTGAGAAAGCTCTGGCCACCGCCCAGAACTCTAGCAACCACATAGCAACACGTAAAATAAATAAATAAAAAATACTCCGCACACTATTGCTGCATTCCATTTGTACTAATTCCGAAATTCCGAGTTCGCAGTAGGAACTTTTAACTGGAACGCCCTCCCAAGTCTGACTCGGCATCTCTGAGCAATCACAACAACGCCAACTTCAGAATACAATATGGCTGCTCAGTGTATAACAGAAGAGAAACAGTAGTAATATATTGTTTATTAGCACTTATGCAAACTCAGTGGTGCACACGTACTATACAACCTCTATTTTTGGACATTATACAATGGTGTTATCTGTGCAAAATACTACTTTCTATGTGTTTTTAATCGACTGGTATTGCTAACAATTAACGTGTCCATCTTGGTTTTCTGACTTCTCTACTGGATAACGGTCCACAGGTGTGATGTCCTTCCCGACTTCCAAGGTAAACGGAACGCAGCATTACTAATTCTATAATAGCACACTTTTAGCAACCACATAGCAATGTGCTGAAAACCGTGCAGAACACTTTATATGATGTGTATTAATGCCCAGGAAACCACCCCAAATATGCTATAAACCACAAAGAAACATGCTAAAAAATGCTCCAAACATCTTAGCAATGTCTGTTGTTAGCAACCACAAAGCAATGCGCTAAAACAATCCCCATAACACCCTAGCAACCATATATCAACATGTCAAAAAATGCTCAGAGCACCTCCTCAACTGTACAAAAGCAGTGTTGCCAACTTAGCAACTTCACTGTCACTAGATATAGTAACTTTTTTAGACCCCTTCAGTGACAATTTTTCCAAAAAAAAAACTATTGCACAAATCTTGGACAAAACGTATCTAGTTTCGATGTCTTAATTATAAATCAGGATTTTAGTGCAGATGGTTTTCACTACCATTACAAACATTACAAACCATCAACTTTTAACCATTAAAACCATTAAAAAATGGTTTCCTGTAGTGTGTTTTAGAACACATTCCATTAGGACATAGTGGTATTAACAAGCCACCAATAGAAGGTGACCAATTACCAGTAGAGACCAACAGGCACCATTACAGTTCCCATTAAAACCAGTACAATTGCCATTATAACCAGTAACACAATTACAAATCATGTAACGGTTTCTCTTGTGTGCTTTTTTTTCTCAGCAGGGATGTAACAGGCTGACACTAGGCACAATGTAAATATGACACAATTGCATCAGGAATATGGTAATTAGTGTATGACGTCATATAGCAACATTTAGTGACTTTTCAAGCAGGGTTAAGCTACTTTGCATTGCCAGCAGTGTATAAAAGTGTGATATATAGATACTTAGTATATTTTACTACCCTATACTATTACTAAGTTATACCTTTTAATACAGTTATTACAATAACTGTAAAGCTAAATATAACAATAACTATATTAGCATCCACATGAACGCAAGATAATGTATTGTTTATTATTAGAACAAGCTTCAGTTTTGTTGTCTGCTGCTTTAAATGCTCGCACACTTTAAAGCAGGATGGATTCTGAATGGCTCAGTGTTTTTACCGTTCATCAGCTGGAAGAAATCATTCGTAAAGTGCCAAAGATATCGTTCCTCCGTGCTGTTATCATTATAGTTGTGGTGTGGACTCTGCTATTCCTTTAAAAAAGAGAGATACAATCTACATCTTTATCTTTATCATTATGGATATCATTATAGCCATCATTCAACTGTATAGCAGTATCATGCTAAAAGTATGTTAACTAGTAACAACTTTACGCCGACACGCTAAAACACACTCACACTCATCTTAACGGCTGTAGCAGTTTGCCGTTAGCAACCAAATAGCAATGCACTAAAAACACTTGGCAAACTCGCATTAAAAAGCTCAAAGCACCTCACCATAGTAGCAACATGCTAACTGCATGCTATCTAGCAATATTACAGCAATATGCTACAAAATGTTCAAAAGTATAGCAGTATGCTGTTAGCAACCACATAGTAATGTGCACAGCAATGTGCAAACCGGGTCCCGCGGTGAATGGACTGAGGTCAGGCACACAAAAACAAACAAAAAAAAAAAGTGGAGAACAAGCATACAAAAAGACAAGAAAGGTGTATAATATGGGACCTTTAAAGCTCATGAGCACATCTGTATGCGGCACTGTTTCGATGTGAACACACAGATGGCCTTCACAGGGCCTAAAGCCAGTGTAAACCTTCAGATAGAGTACAAGCCTAGCAAAGCCCACACATGAGTGTGTGTACACCTGCTCAAACAGAGCGCAGCAGTGCGTGTGTGTTTGTGTTTGGTGGGAGTCTGCGTTGATCAGTGGCCCTGGTGTGTTGACGACCAACATGAGTGAGAAAGAACAGATTAAATGAGATGTGTGCTGTTTACTGCTGCAGGAGAGCCTGAGACCCAAAGAGCCAAACTACAGACTGCTGAACACATCCACAGAACAAGAGAGAGAGAGAAACTCTTCACTTCAAACCTGTGTGGTGCTTATAATCAGCTGTACACTACCGTTCAAATGTTTGGGGTCAGTGCAATTTTAAGTATCTTATGTTTACCAAGGCTGCATTGATTTGATATAAATACAGTAAAACAACAATATTGTGAAATATGATTACAATTTCAATTGACTGTTTTCTATTGTAATATATTTTAAACTGTAATTTATTCCTGTGATCAAAGCTGAATTTTCAGCATAATTACTCCAGTCTTCAGTGGCACATGATCCTTCAGAAATCATTCTAATATGCTGATTTCTGCTCAAATAAATGTCTTGACTCATCACCTGGCTAAGTAAAAGTACATACATGCACTGGCCCTGATCAATTTATTAAAAATATATATTTTTTTCAGATATATTATATGACGATATATTTCAACTCATTTTGGCCGATAGCCAATGCCAAAATCAATATATATTTCCTTTTGTGCAGAGATTATAAACGATATATTATTTTTAATGTTGGTTAGTTTTGAGCAAAACCTAATTTGTTAGAACTAAATAAACAATATTAAAGTTCTAAAGAATACACTGAATGCTTTGAAAACTATAGTAAAATCAATCACTGGTATTTTTCAGACAGATGTGCAATCTTATTTTTATTTTATTTTATGAATTTATAATTTTTTGGTATATTTAACATTTGTAGATGGTCTATATATATGTATGTATGTATGTATCATGGTTCTATACGATTTCGGTACAACAGGGAAAAAAATAAATAAATCTACTATGCTCGGTTTCTTTTCACTTATTTTGAACAGACCGTAGTACAAATTACTATTTTTTCCACATAGATGTGAAAATACTAAATATTATTACTGTATATTTAACATTTGTAGATGGTCTATATATATGTATGTATGTATGTATCATGGTTCTATACGATTTCGGTACAACAGGGAAAAAAATAAATAAATCTACTATGCTCGCAGACCGTAGTACAAATTACTATTTTTTCCACATAGATGTGAAAATACTAAATATTATTACATTATATTTTATATATATATAAAATCTGCAGTACATATATACATAAAAGGAAGCAATTCTTGAAATATATTTTATTTAGTTTACAGATAAACAAGATAAAGAAAACACGTAATGTAGACTATACATGCTGAGTTTCAGTTTCAATTGCCTGTATTTGTTGTAAGGCCTCATGCACCAAACCGAGATGTCTGTACCGTGACGGTTCAGTACGAATACATGTATCTGTCACGGGTTGCTACTGTGAGGAGCACGGAGCGAGGAACGAGGAGACCAGGAGTACAAAACAAAGGGGTTTAATATTCTTCTTCAGGAAATCACACGTAGAACAGGGAGGGGACATAAACAATTCCACACAAAGAAACTCAGAACGGGACTCACTATAAATACACAAACACCAATGGGACACACCTGGGAGCAAATTAACTAATTAAACAAACACAGCTGGAACCAAATTCATACAACGAGGACAGGAACAGGAAGGACCAAATAAGGAAAACAGGAACTAAACGGGAACATACACGTGACAGTATCGTTCCACCCCTAATATACAGTGGGTACGGAAAGTATTCAGACCCCCTTAAATTTTTCACTCTTTGTTATATTGCAGCCATTTGCTAAAATCATTTAAGTTAATTTTTTTTCCTCATTAATGTACACACAGCACCCCATATTGACAGAAAAACACAGAATTGTTGACATTTTAGCAAATTTATTAAAAAAGAAAAACTGAAATATCACATGGTCCTAAGTATTCAGACCCTTTGCTCAGTATTTAGTAGAAGCACCCTTTTGATCTAATACAGCCATGAGTCTTTTTGGGAAAGTATTATTTACTTAAAAACAAGATGCAAACAATCCGAATATTGTACCTGGTGGGGAGTGCACAATGTAAACATGAAACATGTATATATATTCATAATTAATTTAAAAATTCATGTAAAAATATATGTTAGACATTAATTAATAAATCTTGTGTAATGTTTGTGATTTTTATTCATGCAAACTACAGCTTTAAATTAAAACAGACTCATGACCACAAACCGGATGCATCATTCTGTATGTGCATTCTCTAAATAAATGTGTGTATATAAAAAAGTGAATCGGATCACCTTCCAGGCGAAAGTCTGCTTTAAGAATAACCACACTGCTGGCACACAATGAGCTCATTTGGCATATCACCATAATTTTTCCTATCGGGCTGATGCTGATGCTTTATATGTTATATAATAGCATATTACATTTTCAGTTGACAGTCCATGCCTTAACAGTTCGTTCATGAACTACAGCTGTTGTGCCCTGGATCAGAAGGTTGCGCAAACGAATGTATAATGTATATATAATCTACTAACAGTAAGTAACTCTGTAACTACATGTCAACTAGAAGTAATTAGAGTATTAGTAGACTGTCTGCTTAATATCTTCGGTAACACTTTACTTGAAGGGGTGTGCATAAGACTGACATGACACCTTCATAATCATGACACGACACATGTCATGAATATGAAGGAGGTTTTATGCATGTTTATGACAACTGTCATTAAGTGTCATTCGCTCAGTTATGTAATTTTTAATCACTTTATTTTGATGGATCCACAACATACTGACTATTTCAACTTATTCCACTAACCCTAAACCTAACCTAACAGTCTATTCTGAGAGTTAGTAGACATGTAGTTGCAAATTAATGATAATTAGTTGACATGTAGTTGCAAGGGTACTTATAGTTAGTATAATGTCTAAAGTGGACTATCAAAATAAAGTGTAGCCAGATTCAATTCTACCCTCTGATCAACTGTATTTGAATATACAAAAAGAAGCATCCTAATCAGTCACCTTCACAAAGGAAGAGAGCGACATAAATAGCAGTTAATCAGAAGCAAGCTGCTGTGTTTGGATGCCAGAGAGAAAAATAAGATCAAACAGCAAAGACAATATCTGCATATGAATCATTCAGACCTTTGCACTAGAATTGGGGCACACACACACACACACATTTAGAGGTACATTTATATCAACAACTATGATGATTCATGAGTGAGGCTGAGAATGTGACAGCAGAACATGCATCTCTGTATCTCAAAAATGAAAGTGCATCTTCTTGACATTTGATAAAACAAGCAAATATCCATATATAGTATCTGTAGTATGTGTGCATCATCTGATATTGATTTGTAAGCTTTAAGAATTTAATTTACTCATGTCTAAAAATCCTAGATGCTGTTATCTCTGTTCAAGCATGTGATAGCTGAATGCTGCTTTCTAAATGCCAAACACAAAGTGCAAAGCAAGAGATGCCACATTCGACAGCATGAAGCCCATAACAAAGACATCTCAAACAATGTCATCTTTGCATTAAAAATTACATAACTGAGCGAATGACACTTAATGACAGTTGTCATAAACATGCATAAAAAAACCTTCATATTCATGACATGTGTCATGTCATGATTATGTAGGTGTCATGCCATGATTATGAAGGTGTCATGTCTTTTGCATACCCCTTCAAGTAAAGTGTAACCATATCTTCTAACACTTTATTTTGATGGATCCACAACATACTGACTATTTCAACTTATTCCACTAACCCTAAACCTAACCTAACAGTCTATTCTGAGAGTTAGTAGACATGTAGTTGCAAATTAATGATAATTAGTTGACATGTAGTTGCAAGGGTACTTATAGTTAGTATAATGTCTAAAGTGGACTATCAAAATAAAGTGTAGCCAGATTCAATTCTACACTCTGATCAACTGTATTTGAATATACAAAAAGAAGCATCCTAATCAGTCACCTTCACAAAGGAAGAGAGCGACATAAATAGCAGTTAATCAGAAGCAAGTGCTGCTGTGTTTGGATGCCAGAGAGAAAAATAAGATCAAACAGCAAAGACAATATCTGCATATGAATCATTCAGACCTTTGCACTAGAATTGGGGCACACACACACACACACATTTAGAGGTACATTTATATCAACAACTATGATACGCCACACAATACAAATACACAAGTGATTTCAAAGAAACAGAATTATAAAGACTCACCTTGTGTGGCGATAAAATGGTTGGAGCGCTGATACCCCTGAGAAAGAGAGACAGAGAAAGCATGCATTATTATCAATTAATGATATGTCAATTACATTTCAACAACATTCTGACAACAGTCTATATTCTGACTTATTCCATTTAAAATGAGTAATTTCTGTGCCACTAGCATCACCAAACAAAATTGCAAAAAAAAAAAAAAAAAGTGTTTTTCCTAACACCCCCCCTTGTCCTCCACTGCTCAGACAAACAGATAAAGCCGTACCAAACTCACGCCATTGTTGTCTCCAAACTCACGCCACTGTTGCAGTTGACTCTGCATATTAAGCTGAGATAGGAGAGAGAAATCATTAAGCTATCCGGCTAAATGCTATCTATACCATTGCCAGCAACTACTCTACAGTTACTGAATATGTTATATGTTTCTGCAATAAAATTAAAAAAATAAAAAGCACAGCATAGAGATGGATGACAATATTTTACAACCTCAAAGCCCTAATGTACTGTATCTGACAGAAACACAAAATCATAAAGAGGAAAGCTTATATGAAGTGTGTGATTCATGAGTGAGGCTGAGAATGTGACAGCAGAACATGCATCTCTGTATCTCAAAAATGAAAGTGCATCTTCTTGACATTTGATAAAACAAGCAAATATCCATATATAGTATCTGTAGTATGTGTGCATCATCTGATATTGATTTGTAAGCTTTAAGAATTTAATTTACTCATGTCTAAAAATCCTAGATGCTGTTATCTCTGTTCAAGCATGTGATAGCTGAATGCTGCTTTCTAAATGCCAAACACAAAGTGCAAAGCAAGAGATGCCACATTCGACAGCATGAGATATCAGACCGGCAGCTCTTGGGCCACCAGTGGTCTAAAATTATAGTTACGCCAGTCCTGACTGACTATATTCCACAATTATTAGAGATAAAAAATAAATAGTGCACCAAAGTGACTCGTGTAATAACAATAACGAACTGGTGTGACATAATTTTGACCAGAATCAAGCTAAAGCAAAGTTAGTTTGCTTTGCATTTGTTTTGGGAGTTTGTTCCATTTGTGGCTGTTATGTAAATGGTAATCTCTGGATAATTTCTTCTGTTCAGTCCATTGAGGTCATGCGTGAGTAAAAATATGAACACTGGAGTACTTTATAAGTTCTATACAGTATTGAATTATGACTGAAATTACACTGTTTTTTCATGTTTAATACTGTAAAGCTGCTTGCTTTAAAGCAATCTACTGGAAGGTGCTCTCGTGCAGAAAGTCCAAAACAGATTCATAGAAGTAAAAACAATTTATGAATGCCAAAAATAACTAATATGGACAAAGGCCTCCAGCTATCGCTGTGGTTGAGCAGAATAAAAAGCAGAAATGTTTTGATTGATGAAACGTGAAGACGATAAATACACTATTGTGACAGTATATAGTTTTAGGTGTTTCTCAAGTCATCTCCAAATAATAAATACATAAATATGGGAATAAATCAGTGCCAACTGGCGTAGCATGTATTAAAGTTTTGACACTGTTATAAAAAAATATGTTCGGCCTTATTCTGTGATTCAAATGAGGGAAAAATTTTTTTTGTAGTATATAAACCAATCATAAAATTTTCATTAGGACGATATAGGGGAACAATATTATAGAATATAATTTATTGGTTATTGTCTAATAATGTATTTAATTTCAAATTAAACAAGAGATAATAATAATAATAATAATAATAACCTGTCAAGTTGGTGAAAAAAAACTTGTGCAAACATCCATAACTGTGATCAGATGCTTTCTGCACTGCTGTTTTCTCACAAAATAATGAGAGAAAATTGTGCAGCACATTTTTATACGTTTATCTACAGTGAGTAGGCCTTAAATGCATGTTCTCAATTCAGTTCATTATTCAAAAGTATAGATGATTTCATTGGCCGCACATGCCTGACCCGAAGTTAACTTCCGGTTTGAGTTTGTTTATCGGTCTGGCTAGTGGCGCCGACTACAAACACAGTACGGTACACACAGTACACAGACTGAAGTTGGGCTCAGGTTGTTGTGCTGTGGCATGCATTTCCCATACATTTATTTATTTGTGGCAACCCGCTACAATATAAAAACTGACCGCCTCAAATAGATTTTACAAAAGGCTTTGACTTCATTCAATAAACATGAGCAATGCACATTTCAAAATCAAACCGCGGCGGCGCAGGTGTTTTTATATCACTGCATTTCTGAAGGAAACTGACTGTCTTCAGAAAATTGTCGATGTCATTTTAATTTCATCTTGCATGTAATGTCTGATAAAGCAGTGTTTGTGAGCGGAGTGCTGCTTTGTGTACAGCCCTTACGCGGGGAAACCTCTATCTCTCCCGCTACAAAAGCACCTCCTGCTGGCAGATAATGAATTTGCATTTTCAGTAAGTCCGTCTGAATTATGCAGCAAACATATTTTGCTTGTTGTCAGAAATAATCTACTCTAAAGGGACGTTTCTGTTGTTATTGATTCTTTGTGGAAGTCTACAGGAAGTTACGTTTGGGCCACAAAAGCGCGCATGTGCAGTAACGTTTCTTTATGTTGTTGCCATTGAAACCGTCTATATGACTGTGTCTGAAGACATTGCAGTAATTACTGAAATGAAAGCTTAAGCAAAGTTGTATTAAATAATGATAGTTAGTGGTCCCTATGCATACGACAAGCCACCACAATGACTTGGGAAGATTTAGAAATAAGTGCTAGAACTGTCACTGGTGCCTACACTCTAAAAAAAAAAGGTGCTTCAGCGGTTCTTCAGCGGTTCTTTGGAGTGGTTAAGGTGCTATATAGCACCACTACCATATAAAGAACCTTTTAAGCCCCTGAATGGTTCTTCAGCGGTTCTTTGGAGTTGATAAGGTGCTATATAGCACCACTACCGTATAAAGAACCTGTTAAGCCCCTGAATGGTTCTTCAGCGGATCTTTGGAGTTGATAAGGTGCTATATAGCACCACTACCAGAAGTGCTAGAACTGTCACTGGTGCCTGCACTCTAAAAAAAAAGGTGCTTCAGCGGTTCTTCAGCGGATCTTTGGAGTTGATAAGGTGCTATATAGCACCACTACCACATAAAGAACCTGATAAACCCCTGCATGGTTCTTCAGCGGTTCTTTGGAGTTGATAAGGTGCTATATAGCACCACTACCGTATAAAGAACCTGTTAAGCCCCTGAATGGTTCTTCAGCGGTTCTTTGGAGTTGATAAGGTGCTATATAGCACCACTACCGTATAAAGA